TACTGCAGAGTGTGGATCACTGAAAATTAGAAAGTAACTAACTCAGATGAAGTTATTTAAGCCTGAAACTGTCAAGTAACTTATTTTTTTTTAAGGTAATGAGTTTACATGTTTTTTTTAAACGTAATTCAAGTTTACAGCATAGCAGCTACTAAAACTACTCCAAATATTAAGAGACAGAAAAGAGGAAAAGCAGGTTAAACAATGGCTATGACTAAATAACAGCAGATGGTGAAAGACCTAAATCTTCAAATTTCATTTAGAAATGTTCTTCTTGAGCTGGTTGGCACAAAGTGGTGAGCCACGACCCATCTTTGCTTGCATAGACTGAGCCTTTAGTAGTTGCTCCATTTATACCCAAATCATGAGACCCTCACCTGTTACTGGTTCACCTGCTTATTGGGGAATGTTTCACAACAGCTTAACTTGAATATTCTGTAAAATTTATACTCTTATTTTGGCCCTGTCCCGATATTTTTGGAGTGTGTTGCAGACATTAAATTAAATTTTAAAAAATTATATACAAAACAATCATGGAGCCCCTAAGGGGCCGTGGTTAAAAAAGTTGTGTTCCCTCGCAAAATATATGCTCGTCAGACAGCCAGCAAGCGCAGGACCAGAGGTGCCCAACGACACCGTCTACATTAGAGTGTTGATTTTAGCATAGCTAACGTTAAAAGCTGCTTTCCCAGCTTCGCCAGTCTGTGCTGAGTTTATTCAGCTGTTGTTCTCTGCAGGTCTCTGTAAATGAAGCCTTTACTGTACGAGGACCCTCGACCTCAGCTTCAGTTTGGGCTCAATAATAACAGAATCATGTTTGATTTTGAGAAGCAACACATCTTTATATTTCAATCTTTATATATTTCATGTCTGAGGTTAAGCAAAGCACAGGTTTTGCAAGCGAGTGCAAACTGTTGCATCGTGATGCGAACCATTTGCGAGTGAACGCAATGTCTAACTTTTTTTTTTTTTCCACGGCCCCTTAGGGGCTCCGTACATAGTCAAGTTGGTCAGGCAAAACATCAAGTCATCAAGTTCTTTGTACTCTTGTCAGTTAAATTCAGGTTCAAGACACTTAATCACAGATTCTTGTTTTTAATACCATTTTTGCAAAATATTCCAACTTTTCCAGAAGTGATTTATGTATACTTGAGTAAAATTTGAATATTATCCTATGAAAATACTAAGGAGAGCACAACTCCATCAACATTGTTACATAAGCAAATGAGCAGTGAGTAAATAGAGCAACTTACTGCATGTAAGATTATTGTAGTGTTGATATATTAGAGGTTCAACTCGCCAACTAAACACACTCAACACCTGAAATGGGCTCAGCCAGTTTGCGTTGAAGTCGCTGTAGTTACTGAATAATAAGCCTTAGTATGTAAAAAGCCTGAGATTTTAAGGGGTTAAAATGTCAAATCATTTTGAACGTTCAGTGAAACACAGCAGGCCTGCCTCTCCCAGCACAATCACAGCTGAACACTTCAGATGGAATTACAGAGTAAACACTGATGGAGGCCATGTGGCCCAGCTTATCTGAGCCACAGGAGATTTAGGACCTTTTAAAACAGAAACTGTAGCCTGAGTGACTGCCAGGCCTTCACCACAGCCAACGCCTCAAACAGGCCACTCTGCACTCTTACAAAAGATCTTCAAAAGGTTCTTTGGTTAAGGGAATGGTTCTATTTAGAACCATGAGTTCTATAAAGAACCATTTCATGCTTGAATGGTTCTTTGCACGGTGAAATGGTTCTATACAGCACTGAAAAAGGGTTCTTCTATTGTTACAATCTTGGAATTGTGACAATAGCAGAATAAATTTTGGTGCTGTATTGAACGATTTTCAAAAAGGTTCTATATGGAACCATAAACACATTCGTCGTCGATTTGAAACACACTTTCACGATGCAAAAGAACTATTTAAGCATGAAATGGTTCTAAATGTACTGAAGAACCCCTGAAGAACCCTCTTTTTAAAGAGTGTGGTCTAAAGAAAATCTCCACATTCTCAATCCAAACTGACTCTCTGGACTGCAGCTGGATTTGTGTGCTTATATTGTTGTTTAAAAGTCAAATAAAACGCAGTTGTGTAATGGCTGGTGACCTCAGTCTCCCTCTCTGCTCTCAGTCGCTGTGAAACCTGTTTACTGGCTCCGTTCTCGTGTAGGGAGCTGCGTTTAGAGCCTCACAGCCTCAACCATTTATCACCTAAACCTGCTTCATTAATCATTCACCACACACTGACACTACAGAACATCAAACAGGGTTTATATGAAGTTTCATTCCAAACCGCTGTATATCTACTCCTAACAATGTTGGATGTAAAGAGTTAGAAATGGCTTTGATTAAAACATTTAAAACTTCTTTAATTAAGGTGGTATTAATCATAATATTTCATAAAATTTGTAAACTATTTTCATTATAAAATATTCATTAGATTGTATATAAATGCCATGAGAATGATGTTTTTTTATTGTTATTAATACTAGTCATATTGGTGGTATCAGTAGTATATAGTAATTTATCTGCAAATAACAGTTTTTAAGCAAATAATAATCAGTAAAAAGTGCAAAATTGTATTAATAAATTAATAAATAAACTAATCAGAACTTACTGCATAAATGCATTGCAAATTATTATTATTAGTAGGAATTTACATAACAATAAAAGATAGATAGATGGATAATAAACAAATGACACTGTTTAATAACTACTTCATTATTAATGAATGTTTAAGCCCTTTTTGGAGTTTTAGTTCCTGTCTGTTCCAGTCTGATGGCTTTCAATGCTGCATTGTCTGTTTTTGCTGCTTCTTGGCAGTGAAGGCGTTATAAACTGAAAGTCCCCCAAACCAGACTGAACCATTTAATCAGAGAGGAGGAACCAACCTGAACCAGAGCAGCAGCAGCAGCACCGGGTAGCACAGCACAGTGAGTCCCTCTCTAACTTTACTGCACATTAAACCATCATAACAGAGACATTACTGTACATTAACATTACTGCATAACAGAGACATAAACATTACTGCAGGACTCAACTGAAGATCTGTTCCTCTGTGGCTCTGCTGCCCTTTTTAAGGCTGTCTCTGCAGTAACAGCACAGCCTAGTGCAGAAATACACACTACTGTAATGGTGACACATTCAGTTTTCGCATCTTCTCCAAATCCTCTTTGGTCAGAATAGTTTTTATCGCACTTGTAGCGCTTTTAAAGTGTTACGAGACGGGAATTGGCTTCCTCGTCACCCCTTCATGTTGGAATTTTTCCGTTCCACCTTAAATGGTGGAGCAGTTAGCGTTACATGTATGTGGAACAGCAAAATTCGAGCAAGCTGTCGAATAAGAAGCCAACTCAGGCGCTAGAATGTAACTGCTGCACCTTTTAAGGTGGAACGGGACAATTCGAACAAGAAGCTTGGCGAATAAGAAGCCAGTTCAGGTGCTTAAACGTACCTACTGCACTTTTTAAGGTGGAACGGGACATGTAGCTAAGCCGGAAAGGTTGTGCTTGTGCTTTGAGTGCAGTTTCACGCTTTTAATAAAGCACTTGGTGTTAAAAACATTCAAAGGCTGAATAATTAGACATTTCAGCCACATATTAACCAAAAACTGGGCTGGCTAGCGTCTCATTCGGATTTTCGTTCCACCTTAAATGCCGCCAGAACTGCTGCACAGTTTAAGGTGGAACGGAAAGTTCGAACAGGATAACCTACGTATGTCAGCCTCGTTCCAGCTTCGGGGGGGCAAACTACTGAAATATAACCCCAAACATTAATATAGTCGGGGTAACATGTAACGTTAAATATACATATGGTGATTTTACAACAAACACTTTGAGCAGGAAAATCAGTTTTATCTGTAAAAGCAGTTTTTACTGCGCTGTCAAAGATAAACATCCGCGCTAACTGGAATAGCCAGCTGCTGTTGCCTGGCTACATCTCGGACTGTTCCACTGAGCGGTTGGACGGGGGAGGATGATTAGTAATGCGATGTGGATAAAACACTTTAAAAGAGCGGATTCGCGTCCAAAAGCAGTCAGTAAACAACATTTCAGCTTCTGCATCGTTTTATAAAATGTGTTATTTTAGTAGGGGACAGTGTGCGTTGTTGTCCGTGGTGTAACCCCCCCGCCTCGCCGCTGTAGGCTGAATAGTAAAGGATCACGCTGAAGGCACGAGTAGCGATTTCACAGACTGATCTCATGACTACTCGGCGCCCGTGTGTGTGCGGATTGTGCATTAAGCGATATTTGCCCAGGACAGTCTCAATATCTGTGGCCAGATTTTGATTCACTGTATTTGTTTGGAGTCTCGAAAATGTAATTTAAAAATTTGGTTATTGTGGTCCTCGCAAGTGAATTATTTTGGCAGAATTTAGATATTTTGGTGAAATTGGGGGTGGTCCTCACAAAGGACTTTTAATTTGGTAGAATTTGATTATTGCGGTCCTAATGAGAGACTTATATTTTGGTAGAATTTGGTTATTGTGGTGTTCAAAAGGGACTTATTTTGGTAGAGTTTAGTTACTGTGGGCCTCACAAGGGACTTTTATTCAGGTAGAATTTGGTTAGTGTGATGTTAACAAGAAACTTATTTTGGTAAAATTGGGATGTGGTCCTCACAAGGGTCTTATTTAGGCAGAATTTAATTATGTTGGTAGAATTTGTTTATGTTGGTTCTAAGGAGAGACTTATTTTTGGCAGAATTTGATTAATGTATTCTACAGTAGGGATTTATTTTGGCAAAATTTGGTTGTGTTCATCGCAAGGGACTTTTATTTTGGCAGAATTATGCGATCTTTATAAGGGACTTATTTTGGTAAAATTTGGTTATTGTGGTCCACACAAGGGACTTTATTTTTGTAGAATTTGGTAATTATTTCGGGGGAATTTGGTTGTTGTGGTCCTAAGCAGAGACTTTTATTTTGGTAGAATTTCCTAGTTGTGGTCCTTACGATAGCGTAATGTGTGTAATATAAGCGAACTGTGCTTACAAACAGCTGGCAGTCACACCGCTGACCACACAGACGCAGGTGTTAGACGGTGCTCCATATTAGAGTAAATACGGGAAACGCGTGTGTCTTCAGTCACGGCTCCTTGCCGGTTTCAAGGGTCACGACTTTGCATGAGTTTAGACGGAATCAATGTCGTTTCACAGCGTTTCCAGAGAGGCCTTGATAGGCTCTGCGACACTAGGACTGATCTTTATAACGGGTTATTACATCGGTGAGTCAGGGTCAAAGACCTGTGTCTTTAATCGTTATTACAATCAGGAAGAATGGCTGGAGTCCGGAGTCCACATCAACCTGTTGTAGCACCATCTGTTGATGCAGTTGGTCAACAGTGGTCAGAAACTGGCCAATGATGAAACTAGTCCAACAGAAATCAAACTAGAGATCAGCTCATAGAAGTATTACAGGTCATAGGCACTCATTTAGCACTTCATTAGGTACACCTACCTTTTCTCTACGCTCACTGTCCATTTTATCAGCTCCACTTACTATATAGGTGCACTTTGTAGTTCTACAGTTACAGACTGTAGTCCATCTGTTTCTCTGATACTTTGTTAGCCCCTTTTTACCCAGTGGTCAGGACCCCCATGGACCCTCACAGAGCAGGTACGGTTTGGGTGGGTCATTCTCAGCACTGCAGTAACACTGACGTGGTGCTGGTCTGAGTGGATCAGACACAGCAGTGCTGCTGGAGTTTTTAAACACTGTGTCCACTCACTGTCCACTCTATTAGACACTCCTACCTTGTCAGTCCACCTTGTAGATGTAAAGTCAGAGACGATAGCTCATCTGCTGCTGCACAGTTTGTGTTGGTCATCCTCTAGTCCTTCATCAGTGGTCACAGGACGCTGCCCACAGGACGCTGTTGGCTGGATATTTTTGGTGGGTGGACTATTCTCAGTCCAGCAGTGACACTGGGGTGTTTAAAAACTCCAGCAGCGCTGCTGTGTCTGATCCACTCAGACCAGCACAACACACACTAACACACCACCACCACGTCAGTGTTACTGCAGTGCTGAGAATGATCCACCACCCAAATAGTACCTGCTCTGTGAGGGTCCATGGGGGGTCCTGACCACTGAAGAACAGGGTAAAAGGGGGCTAACAAAGTATCAGAGAAACAGACGGACTACAGTCTGTAACTGTAGAACTATAGAGTGAAACTATACGGTCAGTGGAGCTGATAAAATGGACAGTGAGTGTGTGTGTGTGTATATGTTTTGTTTTTCTGTAAGGGATTTTTAGAAGTATCTGTCAGTGCTTTAAGATAATTTCACTCCATAGGATCACATTACGAAAGGGGAGATATTCTGAAATGTGCTCTTACAACAGTCTCATAATGAGAATAACATGTGATACTGTGTGGTATGTTCATGCTGAAGGGAAACTCCAGTGAAAAACTAAGTAGGGCTTTTGTCTCGTACACTTATGATCACCTGATAGAAGCTCTACACTGGGAATAAAGCTAAAGGCCACACATTTCACTCCCTTTCTGGTATTTTTCATTATTTCTTTGAAAAATAACAGTGATTGTCAAACATTATATTAATTCATGAGCTTATAATTTCATTCATTCTTTCTTTCCTCAAAAGGTAACAGCCGAAGCAGGCGGTACAGGATGAACACCTTTAAGAGCCATGTTGGAAGAAAGGATGATCCTGTGATGCAGTACCTCCTCAGCCACTCCATGAGGGAGCACCCAGCTCTGAAGAAGCTCCGCCTCGTAATTAACCTTTTCATTTACATTATCAGTTATTACAGATTATTTATTGGGCCTTTCCAATCCTCACTCTGCTCACATTATTACAAAATTCAGTAAAAGTACTCACTCAGTAATTCACAGTACTTACTGAACACTTTAATTATTCAGTTAAAGTGGTGCGGGAAAAAAATCGATTCTTAGATGCATCGCGATGCGGACGTGAACGATTCTGAATCGATTCACAAATGTCAAAAATCGATTTTCTAAATATTTAATTTATAGCGTAATGTTGGCGGAACACAAAAGGCGGAACTGGAAGTGGGTAAGTGCAGCGGCCGGACAGTCTGTGGCGGCACATAACAAAAACACAACTGGATGAGTGAGAAATCCGACCGGCTCCCTCTGCATTAAAGCCAGGTTAGATCAGGAGTCACAACACAAATGATAAGAAGAGCCATTTTGTCCTTTCAACAAAAATCAAACCAGCTTGGGAGCCACAACATTTAATGTCCAGTATGTCTCAGTGTGTGATGTCCTAGTTTAGGCTAAACAATATAAACGAGAGCGCAGATTTACTCTGCTCTGCTTTAAGCTTTAGCTTTAGCCGCTTTCCTCCCATCTTCACCAGAAAACTTTTCCTCAAAACTAGAGCAGTTTCTTGTAAAATGTCTCAACATTCGACTGTTTTCCGAGGCTGAAGTCGCTTCTCATTCTCCAGCTTCTTGTTCGAATTTTCCTATTCCACCTTAAATTCTGACTGAAGCGCCGAATATAAATGCGGCACCATTTAAGGTGGAACGAGGGAATTTTAAAGAGAAGCGACTTCATCTTTGCGACTTTTTACTGTTTGACAGTCTCTCGTTGCAGATTTAACTTGCCAGGAAAACAACTGCGCTGCTTATAAATGCTAATAACGAATCATTGCTAGGTGACCTGCAGTCCGCACGCCAATTCTCAGTCATTGTGAAACAGGGCTTTCGTGCTATGTTTCACACGTCCTGTCTCGAAGATATTTTACTGACACAGCGATCTTCCCCACCCCTTTCTCTACAACGAGACCAAAACCAAAGTTATAAAGTCACTAAAAACAGGTAGGACGGCTGTAACGCGCTGCGTGGTCATCCATCACCACTGGACCTTATTTCACCATAACAGCGCATTTTATCACAGATGAGTGGCAGCAGCGTCTCCAAGCAATAGCAGTGAATGAGAGCCTTCCAGTTCACTTGCCACATCACTTCCATTTGATTTATTAATAAAAGATATTGGATCCATTGATTATGGATCAATACAAATACTTTGCTTTAAAACTACCAAGTCCTCATTCAATGAGAAAATAGAGGTGATGTATAGAAAAAAAAAATGCATCGAGATGCATCGATAATCGTTTTATAATCGCATCACAGCCCCCTGAATCATAATCGAATCATGAGGTGCCTAAAGATTCCCACCCCTAGTATCTACTAAGTGTTCAGTAAGTATTGTGAATTAGACATTGAATAATTCATACTGGATACGGAATAATTTATAAGAGATAGTAAATAATACATAGCAGATACTAAGAATTCATGGTAAGTGCTGAATAATATCTAGCAGATACCAAATACTTCATAAGAGATACTAAATAATTCATAGTAGATACTGAATAATTCCTTGTACTTGGCACATAATAGGTCTTAATACGAATTAGTGCAGTCAGATGTTATTTGAAATAACGGGACCTTAGTTTCTGACCAGTTTCTGCTCCGCCATGTTGAACGGTATAAACTCTCACTATGACGTGACGAACATGATCAGAACGGACTTAAACTTTCCGATAGGGAATGTAATCAGATACAGGCGTTTACACGGATATTATTCTTCTATTTAACGGATTATTTACAGGATTACCTGTAAATATTCTGATTATTAACGGATTATTAGGCTGCATGTAAACGTGGCTATTGTTAATTTCCTGGCTTTGTGTGTGTGTGTGTGTGTGTGTGTGTGATCTGTGTGTGTGTGATCTGTAGAAAACTCTGGAGCACAAGTGGAACTCCATCATGGTGGCATGTGAACAGTCTCAGTTCATGGCAAACCTGGCGAGGCTAATAAAAGCCAAGAAGGCCATTGAGATCGGTAGGACTTACAGGGACAGCCTGGTGAAAATCACACCTGCACAGTTTCTCTCCTCTTACACAAACAAACTCGATCAGTCGAGACAGATTTGGTGTCTTAAGTTTGCTTCTTTAGTTTAAGACCAGTTTTTCCCCTCATTTAAACCAAAATAAACTACAGAAAGTTTTAAAATGCTGAAAAAAATGTTAATGCGTAAAAATTAAGAAATGTTGATTCTGCACTGTTTATAGGCCTCTATTTAAACACCACCTTTTCTAGACCATTTCTAGATCATGCACTATACTTAGGTTATAGAAGTGTGTATTAAAACTCTGGGCCCGCTGGTCAGCCCTGGCCATTTAAGGGGTTAACCGTACTATTCTTTAGTAAGGGGAACGGTTCCATTTAGAACTTCATGCTTAAACAGTTCTTTGCATGGTTCTTCTGACTGATGGAGAATGTGTTGTATGGTTCTATATAAAACTGTTCTGAAAAGGGTTCCTCTATTGTAACAAGCTTGACCTCATAACAGAAGAACTGTTTTTGGTACTACATAGAACCAGCTACAACACGCTTGATCCATCTGAAGAAACATTTCATCATGCAAAGAACCCTTTAAGCATGCAGATTTTTTTTGAATGTTCTTGATTCTATATATTAAAAGGTTCTATATAGGACCATGAACACAAAGAACCCTTTACATGATGTAAGGGTTCTCTGCTTGTTAAAGGTTTCTTCAGATTGACAGAGAACTCTCCAAAAGCACCAAAAAGTGTTCTTCTATTGTTGTGTTAAGCTTGTAACAATAGAAGAACCCTTTTTGGTGCTATATAGAACACTTTTCAGAACAGTTCTATATAGAACCATATACAACACATTCTCCATCAATCTGAAGAACCATTTCACAATGCAAAGAATCACTAAATCATGCAAAGGGTTCTTTGAGTGTTCGTGGTTCTATATAGAACCATTTTTCTTTACTAAAGAACCCTTGAAGAACCTTTTTTTTTTAAAGAGAAAAAAAAAAGAATTCATCAAGGGTTCTTTATGTAGAAAGGTTCTATAGATCAAAGAATCATTTGCATGCTTAAAGAGTTCTTTGCATGGTGAAATGGTTCTTCAGATTGATGGTGAGCGAGTTGTATATGGTCCTATATAGAACCTTTTTGAAGAGCACCAAAAAGGGTTCTTCTGTTGTAGCAAGCTTTACATCATAATGCACTCCATCAATCTGAAGAACCATTTAATTATGCAAATACTTCTTTGAGTGTTCATGGTTTTATACACCGATCAGGCATAACATTATGGCCACCTCCTTGGTCCAGCAGCACTGCTGTGTCTGATCCACTCGTACCAGCACAACACACACTAACACACCACCACCACGTCAGTGTTACTGCAGTGCTGAGAATGATCCACCACCCAAATAGTACCTGCTCTGTGAGGGTCCATGGGGGTCCTGACCACTGAAGAACAGGGTAAAAGGGGGCTAACAAAGTATCAGAGAAACAGATGGACTACAGTCTGTAACTGTAGAACTACAAAGTGCACCTATATAGTAAGTGGAGCTGATAAAATGGACAATGAGCGTAGAAACAAGGAGGTGGTCATAATGTTATGCCTGATCGGTGTATAGAACCGTTGTTTTTACTAGAGAGCCCTTGAAGAACCATCTTTTTTGTGCACTGTAGCTAAAAGCAGCATTAGAAATAGAACTGCAGAATCTTGAAGCCTGAACTGCATCCATACTTTAGTCCATGTTTATTGGTAACAGTGATTCTTAACCACATAATCAAGGTCTTTTATTGATTACTGAACGTCTCCACACAGTCTGAGGCGAGTGGTGCAGTTAGCACCATGCTAATTGGTGGGGTATAAGCTTTCGTTACTCGTTAGTGACAATAGCCTCGTAGCTCCAGTGCTAAAACTACAGAAGCAAACTTCTCCAAACATGTCTTGGTTGATTGATTTGAGGTCAAACTGTGTACATTTGATTTTTCACTAATGTATCACTTTACATGCTAAAAACTACACATCATTCTGACTGATAAGCCTGTTTATGATAATGTCTTTTAGGCTGTTTTAATTGGTGTCAGTAACTGTGTGTGTGTTCAGGTGTGTATACTGGCTATAACGCTCTGAGCATCGCCCTGGCGCTGCCTGAGGATGGTAAAGTGGTGGCGTGTGACGTCAGTGAGGAGTATCCCAACATCGGCAGACCTTTCTGGAAAGAGGTGAGCTCAGCTCGGCTCCGGATCACTTTGTCTACAGCCCATGTGTCAAACAAGGCCCGCTGGCCAGATCAGGCCCACAACACGATCCTATTTTCTATTATATTAGTCCGTTTCACAATGCACTGCACTACATTTCCCAGCATGCACTGCAATGTAATGTGTGCTCCAACAACAGTGTGTGGGACAGCAGTTCCACCTCAATTCTACACAATTCCACACCAGTCACATCACCAAACACACTAAATGTAGTTCAGCTGCAGCTCAACAAACAAACACTGAACATCAGCTCAGCAGCTCAGAAACTGAGCTCAAGTATTAATGACCTTGCAGTAAAGAAAGGATGTCAGGTGTCCAGTTCCAGCAAACAGGTAGGTTTAAAAGACTGAGTCCCTGGTGACGTTTACATTTGGAATATTTGAAGTATTCATGTAATATTTCAAGCTCTACTACAAGTGTCTGTATTTCACAGCTTATGTTGAATAAACAGTGGCCAGTTTGGGTCACAGCACAACATAAAAAAATTAATAAACATTTTTTTCTCTGCCCCACGGATTTTTTTTTATTATGGCCCCTTCAGTGGTTGAGTTTGACACCCCTGATCTACAGCTACACAACCCACTTAGAGTTATTACTGAGGACAGGAGTCGCTTATGGCTTGTCAATGTTCTCCAGAATGGAGAACATATTAATTAGTACAATCCACCTTTAATAGATGTTAAAATGATGAATAAAATATTGATTCTTGGGCCTCAATGTATTTTTTTTTCCTTTTTCTTTCATTCTTACATTTTTGTTGTTTTTAGTCTTTTTTTGACATTGAAACAAAGAAAAAGGAAAAAATTGCAAAGAAAAGGTTTCTACAATCTAAAGAACCAATCACAATGCAAAGAATCCTTTAACCATGCAAAGGGTTCTTTGAGTGTTCATGGTTCTACATAGGACCATTTTCTTTACTAAAGAACACTTGAAGAACCTTCTTTTTAAGAGTGTATTACAATTTGAGTAGCATGTTCACTGTTGGTCATCTAATGGTTTAATAGTGAGTATAGCCCTTCATTAAAAACACACTGATTTTTGATGATCCATCATTACACATTTCAGGAACCACAAACGAAACAGTTTATTTGAACAACTCACATCTGAACAGGTGTTCTGGAGGTGTTTCCATCTGCCAGCATCTCAGACCAGGTGTCAAAGGAGCACGAATGATTCTCCAGTAGTTTCCTCGAAAAATTACTCTACTTACTTGGCAATTTAGAAACACAGCTTATCTAAAACTGCAGCTTTTTGAATGAAGCTGATGAGTTTGTGAAACGAGCCACAGCTGAGAGTGATGACGAGGGGGCGGAGCCAGAGCCACAGCAGGCCAATCCCAAATGGGAGAGTCCATCAGCTGCCTTCCCAGAGGGGGGACCACATGAGAATGACACAGTTCCAAACTTTTGAACTGTAGTGTAGCTCAAAAATCCACTGCATCATGGCGCAAAACTGAATAGTATTACAGAGAAAACGCTTCAGTTTTTATATATTCAGCATGAAGGACAGTCTAGAAGTGGATTTCTTTACTGGTGAACCATTATTTTAGTGCTAGGCCTGGCTTCACTCTCAGAAATAAAGGTACTAAACTGTCCCTGGGGTGGAACCCTCAAGGCTCCATCTCAGTCCCTTCAGTCAGGGAACATAACTGAACCATAATCCACTGAAATGATATGTTCTAAGCTGTACTGACTCCACACACCCCGTCTCGTCTCCAGGCTTTTATTTTACTGTTCTGTTTAAAACATTCGGTTATGAAAAGGTACAAATACGAACTTTTCACCTGGAGAAACTTATTTAAGGTTCACAATCAGACCTTAAAACCACTGTTGGAGCTTTGAGGGATCATTTACACTGTTTGTACCTTGATGAACGAAAAATGTACCTTTATTTCTAACAGTGTAGGCACGTCAAACTGGGGACCTTCTGGGCCGAAGTGCTGCAGAGATCAGCGTTTACCCTCATCTAAAGCCAGACAGACACTGTGCCGTGTTAGAAATCTGGTTCTTTGGTGACTCACACTGTATGTTTGAATCGTTCATCGTGTTCGGCCAAAGCCTGCGGTTTATGTGCTCACACTGTACAAAAACACTCGGTACAACTGAAATGACGCGACATGGGTCACACTGCACGTCAAACGCAGCCTCTACAGACGCTCTGTCTACAATACAGCTGTTTCACTCAAAACAACACGCTGTGCCGACAATGTCCTGATCAAAACACTGTCTGTATCTCAACCAGCTCCCTGCTCCCTACATAGTGCACCACATATTAAAAGTAGCTGCTCCTGCACCCATAAAGTGCATCACATGTCTAATAAACAGCCTTCTGAGATTCAGCCCTGTGTGCACAGCTCCATACTGGACTAACAGGGCACTGTTTTGGTGTAGAAGACAGAACACAGTGCACTACATAGGAAGTAGGCGGCTCTACGAAGACAAAAAACACTGTATTTATTTATACCTTTCAATTCAACTCAGTCAAACGGAGCAAAATCACCATATACAGATGCTGGTGCCACAAATGTGGACTTGTTTTGCCTCCGTGTAGGAGCGGTGGTTGTGATTGTGTGTGGTTTTGGGTGCAACTTTGAGAAATCGGTTCGTGAGGCGGCTCAGACTGTGAGACAAGCGCCCACAATCCACCCGATCGTTCAGCTGCTCAATCAGAGCTCGTTTGGACAGTTAATCGGGCATCGTTTCCCCTCTCACACTGTAAGACAAACGACGGCCGATGAAGCTAAAAATCGTCCCAATCATGCAATTCAGTCTGCTCAGACCAAATCGGGCTAAAATCGCAGTGTACGCCTGGCTTAACGCTCTGAGTTCAGTTCATGGTCTTGCTGATTAGCTGATGAGCTGAATCAGGTGTGTTTAGTGAGGCAGCGTGCAGAGTTTCGGCCTGTGAGGACTGGAGCCTGACACACGTGTGCCGGGCCATAAATGTCACAACTCTCAAAAACAAGAATGTTATTTTCCTTTAGCGCCCCAAAATGACTTCTTACAGTATGTTGGTGCTAAGCCAGCGCTGGTGGACATGAACATTTTCTGCCCATTCTAGATTAAATATGGACATTTTTTTACCTGTGTTGTGCCTTGTATGTATCTAGATGCCACAGGTGATAGTTCAGATAGTTTAAAGGGCCCATATTCTACATTTTTTTTGTATTTTATTTATTTTTTTTCCCCCTGTGATGTTTTATGTGCCAAAAACAGTCATAATTCGTTTTTACACGACTATTTTCCAAACTTTCTTTATCATTTAGAATTAAACAGGCTGTGCCTTTAAGATTGATATATGCGAAAGAGCTCTGTTCTCATTGGCCGACCTGTACTGTGCCTCATTCCTGAAACACTCCTTTTAACCTCTGAGCCGAACTGCTCTGGGCTGAATAGGTGTATGTATGTAAATGTTTTGTTTTTGTGACATCACAGAGACAGTGAGTTCAAAACGGGCTGTTTTTGTAGCTTAGTTTCCATATAGACTGTATGGAGTGAGGAGTGAATGGTGTGATTTCAGATTTTACAAGTGTTTACACACTACATCAAAGTGTATAATTGCAAAAAAGTGAGGAAAAATTCAGTTTTCCACTATACAGGCCCTTTAATACATCAAGCACAATGATTTTATTGAATAAAAATGAGCTAAAAATTGGAGACAGGTATTTTTTTAGTTCTCAGAAATCACTACATCTACTCTGAATGTATGAATTAGATTTTTTGGTGAACTTTTCCTTTAAGGAGATAAATATCTGCCTTGTTTTCTGTCGTAGGCTGGAGTTGAACATAAAATAGACCTGCGTCTGCAGCCAGCGCTGAAAACTCTGGGTAAGATTTCAACTCAATTCTTATGCATCATAAGAGTCACTGATAATAACGGATAAAGATGCAGCCTCCAATATTACACTTATTCTACCACGTATCACTGATTAATGATTAAACTCAATTTAAAAATATTATAATTTACCTTCTAAATGGTGCAGAAATGATAAAGCATGTTTTACATTTTTACATTATTCTATGAATCTCTCACAGTAATAAACGGCCTGATGGACACATTTATATGCATTTTTCATTTGTTTCATAAAAAAATTGTAAAATTATGAGCTTATTTATATTTTTAAGCATCTTTGACTTCTTGAAAGGCTAAGCATGTTTTTGTTTTATTGTAAGCTTATTTGTATTGTTTGGCTTTTATTAAAAAATCCTTGATTCTTTGGTAAAGAATACTTGATGAATTGGCAAAATACAGTCATATGGAAGTTTTAATTTGGTCAAATGTCAGGTTTTGTTGATTTTTAGTGGACAATTTCTAGTTTTTTAAGTTTAACATGCTGGACAAAAAACATGAATATAAAATGTAAAACTTTTATAATGGCCACATTTTGTTTTGTTTATTTATATATTATTCCATTATGTTAAAATCAGTAAATAAACAGTAATCGCGGCTTAAAATGTGCAGAAGTGTCTCTGTAGAGGATGTGTAAACTTATTCACACTTAGGAAATCAACAACACAGAATTTGACCAGCAGCTGTCGCATACATTTCCATATGACTGTAATCAGCCCTACATAGCAGAGCTTTTGAAAACAAGACACTGAATTGATTGAGTTTCTGTGGGATGTATGTTGGTCTCTCGCAGACGAGCTGCTGGCGGCGGGGGAGGCGGAGACGTTCGACTTCGTGTTTATTGACGCTGATAAGCAGAACTACGACAACTACTACGAGAAATCTCTCCAGCTGCTGAGGAAGGGAGGCATCATCGCCATCGACAACGTGAGTGACCACACGACACGATATCTAAACAGATACATGTGAGATTCTCCTCAGATTTCAGCCTCACAGTGAGTAAATTAATCCTCGAGAAGCCGACACTAAATGTCCACTTTATCGTCTCCGCTGACCGTATAGTTTCACTCTGTAGTTCTACAGTTACAGACTGTAGTCCACCTGTTTCTCTGCATACTGTAAGCCCCCTTTTACCCTGTTCTTCAGTGGTCAGGACCCCCATGGACTCATTCTCAGCACTGCAGTAACACTGACGTGGTGTTAGTGTGTGTCGTGCTGGTGCGAGTGGATCAGACACAGCAGTGCTGCTGGAGTTTTTAAACACTGACTCTATTAGACACTCCTACCTTGTCAGTCCACCTTGTAGATGTAAAGTCAGAGACGATAGCTCATCTGCTGCTGCACAGTTTGTGTTGGTCATCCTCTAGTCCTTCATCAGTGGTCACAGGACGCTGCCCACAGGACACTGTTGGCTTCATATTTTTGGTTGGTGGACTATTCTCAGTCCAGCAGTGACACTGAGGTGTTTAAAAACTCCCGCAGCACTGCTGTGTCTGATCCACTCGTACCAGCACAACACACACTAACACACCACCACCACGTCAGTGTTACTGCAGTGCTGAGAATGATCCACCACCCAAATAGTACCTGCTCTGTGAGGGTCCATGGGGGTCCTGACCACTGAAGAACAGGGTAAAAGGGGGCTAACAAAGTATCAGAGAAACAGATGGACTACAGTCTGTAACTGTAGAACTACAAAGTGCACCCTATATAGTAAGTGGAGCTGATAAAATGGACAGGGAGTGAAATGATGTAGTGATTTAATTTTGAAAAATAGTCCATTTAAAATTGGAATATATTTCAGTATTTGACAAAACAACCAAGGAGAAAAATGTGAATATGATTTCTGATCCCATCCGACAGCCCTAAATAACTACATCATACACTGTCAGAAATCACATGTTATGCTTTTAAATCTATTCCTATATTGTGACTTGGCCTCTGCCGGCAGGTGCTGTGGGGCGGGCGGGTCGTGAACCCTGCGGAAGACGACCTGGACACCCAGGCCATCGACAAGCTCAACAAGAAGCTGCACACAGATGTCCGGGTGACCCTGAGCATGCTAACTGTGGGAGACGGGCTAACACTGGCATTCAAACTGTAAAACTAGCGCCAGTGTTGGAGGTACTGCTGCAGGTTTAGCCCAATGCTAACGTAAAAACACTGCAGCAGGTGCAGCCTTACACTGGTCTTAGATAAACACTGATGCAGTGTCTAGCTCAGTGGTTCTCAGTCCTGTGGAACCCATGTTCTGCATATTTTACTGTTTTTTTTACTTAAATAAATCCATTTCAGCTCATAAGCTCATTATGAAGAATCCGTTTGTCCCATATGTTAGATTAGGGCGCAGAACAGTGTGCAGAACATGCAGCTCACAGGACGGGACATCAACACCACTGGTTTAGCCTATAAAGTGCCATTTAAGTGACAAGTGATCTTAAGCATTTTACACTGGGACCTTTCACAGCACAGCCAACAGCCGCTGAACTGTGATTTAGCATTGCAGCTTTTATTGACTGACCATTGTTTCAGGGTATTTTTGTCCATTTTTGTTAGAGCTGTAATAGTTTAAATCAGATATAGGAAGATGTGCAGTGATTACCAGCAGATTACTGTGTCTCTACATTGTTAAATTATGTTTTATGTGATTGTTCTGCAGATTTTAGTACTGTAGCAAAGGGTAAATAAGTAATAAGTGATGAGTAAAAATCACAGTTGCTGAAGTAAATGAAGTATTGCATACAGGAGCTGCCTGTTCCGTCATTTTTTCCAAACTTATATCAATATCTGCAACTGTCTTGGTGCATTAGGGTCCGACCGATATAAGAGCTGGCTAATCAAATCAGCCGATCAATATTAATCTTCCACATCTTCATCGATGTGGGAAAAAGTCCCGCAGATAAAGCGTCGGTGCTGTTTTGAAGCTGAATGTATTATAAAGCACAGACTTCTGAGCATTTATAGAATCTAGAAAACACAAAACACCATCATCGTTAAAATACACAATACAGCGATAGGCAAACGTTTGAACCCCCCAGTCAAATTCCGTGTTGACATAGACTATATAGATAAAAGTATTTGGACACTCCTCTTAATTATTGAGTTCAGGTGTTTCACCAACACTCACTGCTAACAGGTGTATAAAATCAAGCACATAGCCTTGCAGTCTCCATAGACCAACACTGGCAGTAGAGGGTCGTACTGAGCTCAGTCTTTAAACATGGCGCTGTCATAGGATTCTGCCTCTGCCACAAGTTAGTTTGTGAAATGGAAGCGTCCAGGAGGGGGCCAGGAGAATGTTACCTGCCTGACTGCACTGTGCCAGCTGTAGAGTTTGGTGGAGGAGGGATGATGATATGGGGCTGTTTTTCAGGGGTTGGTCTAGAGCCCTCAGTTCCAGTGCAGGGAAATATTAATACTTCAGCACCAAGACATTTTGGACAGTTGTACTCTTCCAACTTTGTGGGAACAGTTTGGGGAAGAACCTTTCCTGTTCCAGCATGACTGAGCCCCAGTGACCAAAGCAGCTCCATAAAGGCCGGACTGGGTGAGTTTGGTGTGGAAAAACTTGACTGGCCCTCACAGAGCCCTGACCTCAACCCCATCAAAACACCTTTGGGATGAACTAGAACGGAGATTGTGAGTCAGACCCTCTCGTCCAACATCAGTGTCTGACCTCACAAATGCTCTTCTGGATGAATGGGCAGAAATTCCCACAGACACTCCAACAGAAAGCTTCTCAGAAGAGTGGAAGCTGTTAGAGCTGCAAAGGGGGACCAACTCCATATTAATGCCTCTGGATTTAGAATGAGATCATAAAGGCTCTGTACTGTGTAGGTATCCCTACAAAAGCTATAAAACTGCTACAATATTTATTAGTTAAGCTGAGAGTTTGTTGAAGTATATCAGTCAGTAAAGCACTATGAAATTAAAACTACCCTTTATAAATGTATCATTTCTGATATGTTATTCTATCAGCCAATATGAATAGTTATCAATATTTTTAGCTTCTTAAAATGTGGTCAAGACTCAGAAAACAGACCAGTTTGCTGCAGCACTGAAATTCCATGTGTTATTTCACAACTTTGATGTCTTCAATATTATTGTAAAACAAACAAAAAAAACTTAGCATGAACGTGAAGCTCGGTACCAAGGAGGGTCTCTGAGGGCATTAAACTCTCCAGACGTCTGGTTCCCATCACCACCACTGTGAACAACTGTTCCTCTAAAACGGAGCATTTCACATCAAACCACTCCGAATGACTCTGTTTACATTTTAACCATTTAATTATGCAGAAATTTTGCAAAATTGGTGAAATTCCCCTTTAGCACTCCCAGGATTCAGCTGCAGGAGAAGGAACTAAGACAGCGAGTCACATGATGCGTCCGCAGGAAACCAGCTTTAATGTGCAAATCAATCAAGGTGCTATTATCTTCCTTTAAAAGCAGAGAGGAGGTTGTTCTCTACAGCGATCAGGTGAGGTTTTACAGGAGCTCTACATTCATCAGACCTGCTCTTCAGCACAGAGTCACAGAGAGCGAGTGTGACCTGCCGTGGGTGGGAGAGGAATCGCAGGAGAAAGCAGACGCTCACGTCTGGAGAGAGACGGATCTCAGCAGAACAACAGCAAATAAATAAGCACAGACTGATGGGGCATCGCGTCGTCAGGGGCAACAAGGTGTGCTCACTCTCAAAGCTGATGCGTCAATAACACTGGAATCGCTGTTACAACACGGTTTATTTCAGGTTAGAAGAACAGCAAATTAAAGGCAGACTGAATCAATAGACAGGGTTTGTGTTACAAATCTACATTAAAGGGCCCATATCCTACATTTTCCTCATATTTTAAACCCCGCCCCCACCACATCACCTCCGCCAGGTCCTTTTATAACGTTCGTTTTGGTATTTTTCTTAAAATCAGTCATAATCTCTTTTTCCAACAGCGTTTTGCTTCAAAAAGCTGTTTTCATTTGATACATTAAGTATACAGCCGGCTTTAGACTGATATATGTAAATGAGGTTGATTCTGATAGGCTGCCATGTACTGTGCCTCATTTAAAGAGCAGTCCAGGGCTGAAACACTCCTTATAACTTCAGTGTGAGTGGGCGGGGCTAAACTGCTGTAGGCTGAATTAGGAGACGTCTGTAACTGTGTTTACATGCACTCAATAATCTGATCATAATCAGATTCTGCAGTTGTCTGATTATTCAAATGGTCATGTAAAGAGCATACCCTGTTTTCTTAGATCATAATAAGGTCTAGAAATCCAAATAAGAAATCTGAGAGCTGGATTTTAGCTCAGTAATCAGATTTCTCAGTGCTGTAAACTCTGATTTCTTTCGGATTTCTCAGTCTGAGCATGTGTGAAAACAGAAAACGAAATGAAAGACTAAAATATTCTTCATGTTCTAGATGATGTATGTTCATATTTTCACGTAAAGTGGTGCGATGTGATAAAAAACTGCAGGGTGAAGTTTGAGTTTTATGTTACGTTTACGTAACGTGTTCTTCTGAGAGTTTATTGGCTGGTTGTAGAGCAAAAATCTGATTACTGTCTGACTTATGTAGACCTGGAGTTTCCCTGTTATGTGATTACTCAAGCGCATGTAAAGGCGTTGATCGTATTACTGGCAAAATCTGATTTTCTGCAGTTATCGGATTATTCGTTGCATGTAAACAGTATTTTTTTGCAGCTTAGCTATATGGACTTTGGAGTGAACAATGTTTTGAAACTGTGTTTACAGACTGAATCAAACTTCTTTTTACGAGGAAAATTCAGTTTTCTATGATATGGGCTCTTTAAGTGAGATAACACAACAGTACTCAGCTGAACGGGACAGTGTGGTGTTCTCAACACGTCTGATTTGAGAGTGTAACTGAGCGTGCGGTGGATCACTGACGGCCTTTTCACATCGGCTGCACAAACTAAACACACACAGAGGACCCGGATTTATCCATATTAAACCCATCCTCTCCTCAGAGTGAGAGAGAGAGATAAGAAGGAGGAGAGGGGGAGAGAGCGAGAGAGAGGGAGGGAGGGAGGAGTGTGGAGGGAGGCTGGTTTATGCTTCCAGCTCCAGCCCCAGGCCCAGTTTGTGTCCTCCAGAGTTGATGCTTTTTCCGTCCACCAGAGCAGAGAGAGTCAGCTTCACCCCTACAAACGCAAACACAATGAAACAAAAGTGAGAAACTGAGAAAGTGATTAAGGCCCATTTCACCCATTTCTACCACTCAGCCCTACCCCTCCGTTTTGCGTGTTCACATCTAGGGGTAGGGTGTCCTGATTCTTGTTGAGATAGAGGGGTGGGGTGAAGTGTTGGGGCTACATGACCCTCCAAACAGAGAGTTATGAGAAAAAACAAGATGGAGAACAAGAGACCAAAGAAACACACAAATGTGAGAAATTTCTCTGTTATAAATTATAATAACCATCGTATTATCTTTAGTTTATTGTCGTTTATTAAGGTGTATTAAGGTCCTTTTCTTCATTACAAGCAAAAATCTCTAGTAGTGCTGACATCTCGGTAGCTCGCTAAATTCGAACAAGAATCTGGTGAATATCTGACTTCAGCTTCGTATCACTGAAGAATTAGGGGTGGGTGATAATAAATAATTAAATAAAAACAAAAGGACTTGGGGAAATGACTCTGGTTCCACTGACTTACATTAAAAGTAAAGCAGGTTTTTTCCTTCTCCTGTAAAAGTTACTATTTTGGAGATACAGGGTTTTCTTCCAACAACAGCGATTATATGTTTATACAGTTTATACATACAAGACAAACTGTAATGAAACAGAAGTGATTCTGAATTATTTTTAAGCTGCTGAATAAAGAACGAAAGGCAGTAGATGGAAACACATACCTGGCCTGAGGGTCTGCGTGTAGCCCACTCCCACCAGACTGGAGTTGTTCACTTTAGCCTAAAAGAGCAAACACAGCTCTGTTAGTGACGATACAGGGAGGAGAATCTGCTGCGTACAGTGAACTTTATCCAGCCCCCTTCTTACTGGGGGGCTTCATACTATATCATGTTACTACTATGAATGTGCTCCAGCAGTCGAGTATTCAGGTAACCTTTTTAAGACTAAGTAAGAATATTATATTATACTTTCATACAAACAAGCTTTAAATGTGAGGCAGAGGAAGTACTGCTGTAACTAGGCTAACTATTCTAGCTGATGTTAGCTAGAACCAAGATATTCTCTGTTTTCAATGTTACCTCGACAAAACGTGCTGGCTCATCATTCATTATATAGCACGATGTCAAGTTTGTCATAACAGAAGAACCCTTTTGGTGCTACACAGAACCCTTTTCAAAAAGGTTCTATATAAACCATATACAGCACATTCGCCAATCCGAAGAACCATTTCACGGTGCAGAGAACCATTTACTCATGCAAAGGGTTCTTTGAGTGTTCAAGGTTCTATATAGGACCATTTTCTTTACTAAAGAACCCTTGAAGAACCATCTTTTTTAAAAGTGCTGGGAAAATTTAATTAATTAATGCTTCTAAATTAATGATATGTAGCAAAACCTACGTCCCATAGGCTTTTTAAGGGCATAGTAGAGGTGGGCGATATGGCAAATAAAGTAACATCATGATACTTCCAAGGTTTCACGATACATGATATGCCACAATATATGTTTTTTTCTGATACCTGATCAATTTGAAAAGATAAAGTAGTGCCACATTTTAAAAACAGGATTAAATACAAAGCATATCAATCAGCCTTTATTTAACCTTGGAGAACATTGAGGGTGACCCTCATTTACAATGTTACCGAATTAATAATGTGTAAGAACAAATCGATTAATAAAAGTAAATAATAAAAATGACTCAAATCAGCCAAGTATAAAAAAAAAGTAAAAGATTTATAATAGGAATACATAAAAAAGGTAAGAAAATATTAAACATTAATTTTAATTAAAATATTAAAGCGTAACTAAAATGTAAAAGTTAATAAAATCAAAAAGAAAGAATAAAAAGGGAACTATAATTAAAATAACTGAAATAATAATAAAATAATTAAAACAAGAATAAGAATATGAATAATATTAAATAAACAAATAAATAAATGGGGAAAAAAAGAATAAAATAATGAAAATAAGACAATAATGGTGAAAATCAGTAGTGGAGGTGGTGAGAGAGTAGAAGTTTAAAGTGGCTGAGTGGCCCAGCGAGCTGAGCTGTGGTGTTTCCTGTAGTGAGTTCCTGCTCACTGCTGCTCTGGAACCCAAGGCAGATTCTCCCAGCTCAGTAAAAACTCTTGTATAATGATTTGTATTCATTTCACACACTGCGCTGCAGATTCAGTTAAACAGGACTAATGATGCTCCCTTTAGTCAAACATTAAGTTGCAAAGTGTTTAAGTACTTTTGATTCACACAATACGCTCAGAAAAGCTTCTTGTGACATATTGTGGCATAATTTACCAAGAGAAATTGATATACTGCCCAGCTTCCAGTTCCAGGTTTAAATTGGTTTTGTACACCCAAAGGTCTAAGAGTATGTAGTTAGATGACATTCCTGGGTTGTTGTGTGAATTATGAAAAACAAGCACAATTCGTTTATACTCATAATTCGGCATAAAATCATTATTTGACTTAGCTTGATAGCTAATATATCCCGGCTAGGGGTGGGAACAAAATCGATTCTTAGATGCATCGCGATGCAGATGTGGACGATTCTGAATCAATTGACAAATGTCAAATTGAGTTTCTAAATTTTAATTGATAACGTAACGTTGACGGAATGCAAAAGGCAGAACTTTACAAAGTCTGTGGCAGCAAACTACATTAAAAGCTAGTCCAGGGGTCGCAACCCAAATGTTAATAAGAGTCATTTTGTCTTTTCAAGAAAAATCAAAACACCTTGGGAGCCACAACATTTTAAGTCCAATTTACCATCTTGGCTGTAAACATGTCTCAGTACATGCTAATGTCCTAGTTTAGGATAAAAATTATAACAAACAAAAACAAAGACTTACTTTGCTCTGCTTTAATCTTTAGCTCAGCTATAGCCTCTTTTCTCACATCTCCAGCAGGAAACTTTTCCGCAAAACAGTTTTTCCGTGGAACAGTTTCCTGTAAAATGTTTCTCAAATGTTCTACTTTTTACGAGGCTGAAGTCGCTTCTCATTCGCCAGCTTCTAGTTTGAATTTCCCGTTCCACCTTAAATGAGAATGTAACTGCTGCACCATTTAAGGTGGAACGGGAGAATACAAACAAGAAGCTGGTGAATAGCTGACTTCAGTTTCATGTGTTTAGTGTTTCTCGTTGCAGATTAAACGTATCAGGAAACCAGCTGGAGTGATTATAAATTCGTCTCCAAATTATCAATGTTTGTATTAAATCTTTCTCTTTGCTTTTTTGTTAGCTACTAACTGAACTCCATTTTCTGCCCGGTTGTAGTTGCTGCCAACCAGCGGACCATCGGTCAAGCAATGTCAGAGCTTCCACCCAGCTCTGAAAGAACGAAGCGAATTACAAACTCTATCGCAACTTTTATTGCCAAGGATTTGCGTCTGTACTCAGTCTTTGAGAACCAGGGCTTTCGCGCTATGTTGCCCACTTTGGAGCCGAGATACAGCGTCCAGTCTCAAAGATATTTTACTGACACAGCGACACCCTCCCCTCCCCCAACTCTCTACCACGAGACCAAAACCGAAGCTGTAGAATCACTGAAGAAAACGGGTACGACGGCTGTAACATGTGCTGCGTGGACATCCATCACCACTGGATCTTATTTCACCGTAACTGCGCATTTTATCACAGATGAGTGGCAGCAGCGTCTCATGTGCTCCAGACAAGAGCAGCGAATGAGAGCCTTCCAGTTCACTTTCTACATCACTTCCATTTGATTTATTAATAATTAGAAGTAAATTCATAATGGATCATTACAAATACTTTGCCAGAACTGGTTTATAAGGAGTCTGGCCGCTTCCTATTTCCCCTGTTACATCAAAAACAGGACTGCTAAACAGCAGAGGGCGCCCACGAGTGAGTCCTCAATGAATGGGAGTGAATGGAGCTCAACGGCTAAAAACGAAAAGTTAAAATAGTTTCTAATCACTGAACCAGAACTTTCCTTTAATTTTAGACAGTAGAAGGATGGATTTCACTAAAAAGCAAAGAAAACTCACCTTTGTGTTTCCTTTATTCTACAGCAAACAGGTTTTGGGCAGCAGGAGGCGGGCTTTACTACTAGAGCGTGATGACTGGTTGGCGAGCAGAGCAGCTCATTGGCTGTTCGCGGTCACTGACGTCATGGACATACATGAGGCTCTGTTTTAAACTCCTATAACTCGAGTTTAAAAGCTCTTAAATATAAAACAGCAGTGCTAAAATGTTTTATGCTGTTCTGTGTTCAGGAAATGAATGAATTCTTTTACATTAAAGATGTTTAATCATTTATAAACTATGATTTTGCTCAAATGCTCCATATCAACCCATCCATTTTGGACTCACTCGAGAGCGCCCTCTGGTGTTTGAGAAAACTGGAAGACGTTGCAGAGTGGTAATTCTCCTCTCTACAAGCTCTCTGACTTTGCTTTAAAAGTTCCAAGTCCTTTAACAGTGAGGAAACAGAAATCCCGTGTAGAAAAAAAGATGCATCGATAATCGTTTTATAATCGCATCGCAGCCTCTGAGTCATAATCGAATCGAATCGTGAGGTGCCTAGAGATTCCCACCCCTAATACCGGCTGGATTAATTCAAGTTACATGTGTTCGTCCACCTGAAGGAAAGCGCATCACTACCCACAACAATTAAACGAGTGTAGAGCGGTAAAACAGTCCTAGGAGAGTTATGAGATTATACTACTGCTCTTCATCGGGTTTTACCATACGATGAAAATAACTGCTGATAGAGAACAGTGTGACTCTACATTAGCGCTATGTTAGTGTTTGTGAAAATGCCCTGTGAAAACCTACAGGAGGTGACTTCGTACTGTATACTGTAAATGTTTATTGAGAAAAAAAAGGCATTTGAACTTTCCTTTAATGTTAACCAGATTAAAAGCCAACATTAAAATGCTGAAGTGTGTATATTACTCACGCTGATGGAGGCGCTGGGGTCCAGCTGGTATTTGGCTGCGATGCCGAAGCGTGTGCTGTTGTTGCCGGCAGTCCAGGCCAGATTAACCGCCGTCTCCAAATTATCGTTCACCTTCTGATAGACAGAGCCTCCGAACTCAGAGCCATCATTACTGCACACACAGATACACAGACAGAGAAACAGACCCTCATTATTATTATTATTATTATTATTATTATTATATTTGGGCAGTAGATGAAAATGCAGAATGCAATCCAGAATGTTTCCATCATGAGATAATAACTCTGATTAGTGTGAACTGTCCCTATTAAATAAACAGGGTAAAAGGTAAAATGTAAAGCAAAATTATTTTTTTTATTTATTTAATTAAATTAAATAATTTGATGCCTGTACAAACCAACCCAATCATAAACATTACCATATTACCCAAGATTTAGTTTTTTCTTCTCCCTGTTATCCTCTCTTCCTTTTCCTCCTGTCCATTATTACTGCAGTCATTATTTAAAATAAAGAAATAGTCCATTCAGTAATTCAACCTGCCTAGTTTTAGCAAACAGGTCATTTGGGCTGATCTGAGGAGCTGCTCTCCTAAACCAGCAATCCTCAGTTTCTACTTTCTGCTAGCGCCCCCTGTGGGATAAACAAAGTAATTGAACTGACGTGAAAGCTGTACTTTCACACCAATCAGGCATAACATTATGACCACCTCCTTGTTTCTACACTCATTGTCCATTTTATCAGCTCCACTTACTATATAGATACATAAACATAAAATGTTGTTGGACAAAATGGCTCTTCTTTACATTTGGGCTGCTGACCCCTGATCTAGACCTTCCAGAGTGAACCGTCCTTTCTTTACTACTTTACTGCTCTGTAGTACTAAACTACTGTAAGGGGTCCTTCTTTTATGTATCACTGCAGTCGGAGGAAAACCTTGTATCTCCATTTTTGTCGCTTTTCAGTTTTTGACATACTTTGAAAAAGCCTGTTGTTCTTTACATTCTGTGTAAATTTCATGAGTGATGGACCAAAAGAAACGGCCCAGAATGACTTGGAAAAATGTCTGGTTCCATTGACTTACACTAAAAGTAAAGTAGGTTTTTTCCTTCTCCTGTAAAGTTACCATTTTGGAGATACGAGGTTTTCCTTCTGACAAGAGCGCCACGTATCTGGAGTCATGCAGTGGTATAAGGCAATCTTGACATGTGTCACCAGTTGACAGCAGAGTGTTTTGGTTTTTTGTGCTTTTTCCCCTCTTTCCCTTGTCTGTGTTTTGTCTACCGAGGATGTTTTGGGTTTTTTTCTTGTTTTTGTGTGTCTACATATTAAAAAACACAGCAATCTCTTTTGTTTTGTGAAATATCAGCAATGAACTGAAGAAATTGACAAAAGAAGATTGTTTTAACTTATTTTCACTTAGAAAATCAACAAAACCGTTCATTTGACCAGCAGCGGCCGAACTTTTAAATACGACTGTAACTCAAATTGGCATCAAATGGTTGATTTCATCACCCAGCCATAAATACTAGTATTTGTTTTTACAGCCTGCCTGCAGAAACTCACACGTTGGTGTGCAGCTGAAAGTCGCCGGTCTTGTAGCCGATGGAGAAGTTGTTGCGGCTCATTTTGGACTTGGCGCTTTCAAAGGTCATCTGGTAACCGGCGAGCCAGCCCTCGTAGCCCAGAACAGCGGCCGCATGGATGGTGGGACCGGCGAAGTCAAAGTCAACATCGCAGCCCACGTTGAGGAACTCCCGCTTATAGGCCGTCTTCACCTTCCCACTCTTCTTTCTGTCGGAGAGAAACAGGGTTACACCATCACAGCTGACCTTCAACTGCTGTCAGGACTGCAGTTAAGAACCGGCCTTACCCTGTGTTTGGAGAGAACGTCGTGTCAAAGGTCAACTTCAGTCCTTTAGTGATCTGTAAGGGCAATCAATCAATCAATCAATCAATCAATCAATCAATCGATGACTTGGAAGTACACTGAGGGTGACCCTCATTTACAATGCAGCCGAGCAAATTAGAGATTTGCAGAACAAAAATAATAAAAAAATATATACATACACGAAATATATAAATACACCGATCAGGCATAACATTATTACCACCTTCTTGTTTCTATGCTCATTGTCCATTTTAACACTGACGTGGTGGTGGTGTGTTAGTGAGTGTTGTGCTGGTACGAGTGGATCAGACACAGCAGTGCTGCTGGAGTTTTTAAACACCTCAGTGTCACTGCTGGACTGAGAATAGTCCACCAACCAAAAACATCCAGCCAACAGCGTCCTGTGGGCAGCGTCCTGTGGGCAGCGTCCTGTGGGCAGCGTCCTGTGACCACTGATGAAGGACTAGAGGATGACCAACACAAACTGTGCAGCAGCAGATGAGCTATTGTCTCTGACTTTACATCTACAAGGTGGACTGACAAGGTAGGAGTGTCTAATAGAGTGGACAGTGAGTGGACACAGTGTTTAAAAACTCCAGCAGCACTGCTGTGTCTGATCCACTCAGACCAGCACAACACACACTAACACACCACCTCCACCACGTCAGTGTTACTGCAGTGCTGAGAATGACCCACCACCCAAATAGTACCTGCTCTGTGAGGGTCCATGGGGGTCCTGACCACTGAAGAACAGGGTAAAAAGGGGCTAACAAAGTATCAGAGAAACAGATGGACTACAGTCTGTAACTGTAGAACTACAAAGTGCACCTATATAGTAAGTGGAGCTGATAAAATGGACAATGAGTGTAGAAACAAGGAGGTGGTCAGAATGTTATGCCTGATTGGTGTATATATATATGTAAAGTGTGTGTGTGTGTGTGTGTGTGTATGTACCTGGTCCTCCACGGTGATCTCAGTGCCGAGTGTGTTGTCCGTGTTCCATTTCTCGGTGAAGGTGAGGCCGTACTCGTCCCATTTGTACTTGGTCTCCAGGTTAGCATTCACTTTGGTGGTGTCTATGTTAGACGAGCCGGACGTCTTGAACTCCTGATTTAAAGCAGACGTTCAGGTTTAAATCAGAGACATCTCAACTTTATTTACATGCCCCCCTTCATGCATAAAAATCCAGCTCAAAGTACTTCACACAATGTTTACATTAATGTTCATAAAATTAATGAAAGCATTGGACTGAACTGTTTTCTCCAACAAACCACTGTAATTATAATAAAACAAGACCATCTATAGAAACACGCTGTCAATACCCACCACTCCATTCGCTGACTTGGTCTTCACATCGAGCTTCACCACCCCAAAGCCTTCCATAAACAGAGCACATTTTAAAACAGAATTTGAAACATTATCGGACACACTGAGGCTCATATGCAAAAGTTTTGGCACCCTTGCTCCAATTCCATGTTGATTTTCTGAGTATACATAAGTTACACATCCTCTACAGAGACACACTTCTGCACATTTTAATGCACAATCAATGTTTATTTGCAGACTTTAACATATTGGAAATAAAATGTGGCCTGTGCAAAAATTATGGACCATTAAAATTTGGGGATGATGTGTTAATTTCAATTAGATAATCAACAAAACGTCATTTGACTGGGGTGTTCAAACCTTTGCATCACCATCGCGGTTAATTATGTCACAAATCTGAGTATGAAGATCAGCACAGACTGCTGGGTCCCCATAAAAACACAGACAACAGTCTTGACTCTGCAGCACATAAAGTCCATATATGGACACTAAATTGAAAAGCAGCCTGTGTATTTGTTGTTTTCGTGATGTCATGCAAAAACAAATGTCTACACGTTTTTATATCCATGCATTCAGTCTGCGGCATTTTAGCTCTGCCCATTCAGAGGGTTTCAGCCTGGACTGCTTTTTGACTGAAGAACAATACAGGGCAGCCAATCAAAGCAGAGCTCATTTACATATATCAAAAGGCACATAAATGTCTGTTAACTCTAAGGGATAAAGCGAGGCTGGAAAACAATCATGTATAAATGAATTGTGGCTGATTCTAGGACATAAAACCACACAGATGTGCTAAGTGGAATCATAACAAATGGAAAACGAGGATTATGGGCCCTTTAAAGTGAATTAAAGTGACAACAGCAGCTTGTAAATGTGAGGTAGAGGGTGTGTGTTGAGGTGTAGAGCCGTACCGTATCCCTTATTGAAAATATCCTTCGCAGATTTGCCGAGGTCAGCGTACGCTGGAGGAACAGCCATTTCAGCTGGAGAGGAGGCGGAAAAAAAAAAAAGAGAAACACAGTCAGAGTTTCCCTGCAAAACACTACAAATACTACTGCAACCAAACTAACAGCCAGTAATACTGTGCACAGAAAGGAAAAACAGCACCTCGAGCTGAAGCTGCACTTCCTGTTCCTTCGTTCTGCGACTCTATATGATCATTCTGGGAGGACGTGTTTGTAATTTTGCACAATTTCCTGAAATGACTGAATAAACTCATCCCGTTCTTTATTACTCTGTGATTCTGACCACAGACAATGACCCACGGTTTCCCATCACTAAAGACAGGATTATTCATGCAGCACATTTCATACTCAGAGGTCATTTAAAATACTTTAGGCAAAAATAAATGCATAAGAAATATAAAAATATGTATAATGCATACATAAAAATACATACAAAACTCTGACCTGTTAGAAATGCACTAATGTGACGTATTATTAATGCCTCTAATTTTTCTAGCACATTGTAGAACCTTCAAATCACACTCGACAGACGCTCAGGGAGAACTATGGATAAATCAACAAGCAGCAAACTAACAAAAGCAGCAGTTTGGTGGAACTCCAGTTCCCCTCGAGAACCTCCACTGTAACAAGAACCCACGAGATGTATGAATGAGAACGAGAGGCTACAATCACAGAGGAGCTGAACCACTGACTGTTTATATGACATATATGATATATACAGTCAGTGAGTGTAAATATGTATGATATATACACTCATCGACTGTATATATATATATATATATATATATATATATATATATATATATATATATATATATGAATCATACACTCATTGACTGTATAGATTATATATATAGATGATATATAAATTCATTGACCTTATATATGATACACAGTCATTGACTATATATGACATGTATGATATATACACTCAGACTATATATGAAATGTATTATATATACACTCGACTGTATATATACATATTATACATACACTCTGACTGTATATATGATATATGATATATAAATTAATTGACCTTATATATGATACATAGTCATTAATTGTATATATGACGTATGATATATACACTCACTGACTGTACATGATATGTATGATATACTCATTGAATGTATACATGAGATATTCATTGACTGTATATACGTATGATATATACACTCATTGACTGTACATATGATATATATGATATATACACTCATTGATTGTATATGTTATCTGCACTCTTAAAAAGGACGGTTCTTCAAGGGTTCTTTAGTAAAGAAAATGGTTCTATACAGAACTTTGAATGATTAAAGTGCTCTATGCATCAGGATAGGGTTCTTTAGACTGATGAAGGATGTGCTTCAGATGGTTCCATATAGAACCTTTGTGAAAATGGTTCTATATAGTGCCCAAAAGAGTTGTTCTACTGTTATGGTGTCTAGCTTGTAACAATAGAAGAACCTTTTTGGGTGCTATATAGAACCCTTTTCAAAAAGGACCTATACAGAACCATCTATAGCACATTTATGCATGTTTTCCATCAATCTAAAGAACGCTCTGATGATGTAAAGAACCGGGTAATCATGCAAAAGGGTTCTTTGAGTGTCCATAGTTATATATAGAATCATTTTCTTTACTAAAGAACCCTTGAAGAACCATCTTTTTAAGAGTGTATACTAGCTATGAAATAAACAAACATTGCCCGTAAATGTGCTATAGCACACAGTCAAAAGCTAGAACGTTAGAACCAGGAAAATCAGAGGAAATAAGAGGTTTCTTTTATTTACGTTCATTTGCAAAATGCATTCAGCTCACATTATGAGCCATTTGCAGTTTCACTGTATAAACAACATGAAATCTAATGACTGGAAAATAAGTATGTAATAATTGCGAAACCATGATGTGGAGAACCTTTCCCTCCTTACAGCAGAGCAGAGGAGGAGTGACTGACTCAGTGACTGCAGAAGAGGAAACAGTGAATTCCTCTCTTTCAGCTCAGAGACAGAAAAACAGAACTTCAGCTCCAGAGACGACCTGCAGAAGACTGCAGCCATTTTAGCAGTCAAACCCGCCGAGCCGGCTAACCCCTCCCTGACACACACCTCCAGTAATAACAGTCATCCAGAGATCAGCAGACACACTGAGCACACACACTCTCCCCACGCAGAACCCGCAACACCCACAGCTACACGTTACTGAACTTGGTTCATTCAGTTCAAAGCCCCAGGAAACACAGCCTGAATCATTAGAATGTTTGTATTAGACTAAAACTGCAGGTTGTATTAAAAATCTGGCAAAGTTAGAATAAAAAAAAGACACAAATATAATAAAACATGTTTTAAAAATGCTCATCTGACCTGTCTGAGTGGCAGTAAGTCAAGCGAAAAGCTACCCACCAAGCCAAAGCTAACCACCAAGCCAAACCTACCCACCAAGCGAAAGCTAACCACCAAGCCAAACCTAACCACCAAGGGAAACCTACCCACCAAGCGAAAGCTAACCACCAAGCCAAACCTACCCACCAAGCCAAAGCTAACCACCAAGCCAAACCTACCCACCAAGCGAAAGCTAACCACCAAGCCAAACCTACCCACCAAGCGAAAGCCAACCACCAAGCCAAAGCTACCCACCAAGCCAAAGCTAACCACCAAGCCAAACCTACCCACCAAGCAAAAGCTAACCACCAAACTAAAGCTAACCACCTAACCACCAAAGCTAAAGCTAACCACCAAACTAAAGCTAACCACCAAAGCAAAGCTAACCACCAAAGCAAAGCTAACCACCAAAGCAAAGCAAACCACTTGGTGGTTAGCTTTCGCTTAGCTTTTCACTTGGTGTTTAGCTTTCGCTTGGTGGTTAGCTTTGACTTGGTGTAGCCTTTACCTTGGTAGTTAACTTTCGCTTGGTGGTTAGCTTTCTCGCAGTAAGTTTCTCCAACTCCAACACAGAGAGGCCGCAGGGGAACACAGTTTGTTAAAGCTATGTAGGCGGGACAAACCACTTCAGCCTACGACTGGAGAAGATATTGCTCACATATGCTGCACCTAGAGCTGGGCGATATGGCCAAAAACGTTATCACGATAAACAAAATTCATATCGTTCGATATCGATACATATCGCGATAAATGTCAAATCATGATTTCTTTCACGTTTGAAGGCTGATTTTGCTCCTGGGTGGTTAACTGTGGTTTTAAACTATCACTTATGGTCCGATCATGACAAACACTCGGCAAACAGTGGAACATTTCACTAATCTGTCTCGGGACAGTGGGAGAAAGTTTCTGAGCTGTTTTTATCAGCTGGAAAAGCACAGCTGCAATTTTTGTAATAGTCATAATCTAAGAAAGAAAACAGATTATTTTAGCTGTCTGGTGACGAGCGCTCGGCTACCCCGCTACAAACGCTAAACAAGTGGCCAACAACAGTGTTAACTCTTTCTCAACAACGTCAGCTCGGTTCGGGAGGTCACTGCGGTCACTCCTACCACATCCATGTCAGAGCATATCACAGTATTCAGACACCAGCTAGACGACTGGGTTTCTCTATGCTATCGTAGTAGTTTAAGGGGTGAACCGCAGTATATCTGACGCTCGCTGTGTAAAAGCATTATCTGCAGTGTGAATCTCTCACACCAGTCACAGAGTCCTCCTTTTAGGCATGTTTAAACTGAAAGCGGTGATTTTGTGTCTTGTTTGATCTACAGTATCATCAATTCACCGTGTTTTGCCGGAGCGCTGCTTCAAGTTAGCCAGCAGCTAAAAACAGCTAGCCTGGAAAGACAGCGCTCTCCAACGCCTCACAGCTTCCTCAGTTTACTTTCGAACATTAACCCACTTCTTTCTTTCACTTCCGTTGCTCGAGAATGCACTAATGCTAAAATATGACGGTTTGGCGCTGTAACACGGCGCTGCAGACGTGATTTAACACCGCTAAAGCTGTTAGGATGTTAGTAAAGAGGTGAGTTCACCGTAGGACAGTACAGTTACACCACTGACCTCGTCACTCACACTCGGTCACAGGAGAGCAGATCGCCGGTCGCTCCACTCAGACAGGGACTGTATAACTCCGCGTTTCAGCCGTTGCTAAAGTATATTTGGCGACCCTTTTTTTACTCGTCGCCCCCTCCCTCTCTAATCAAGTCGAAAAACTCGGAAGTGCGCCCTCTCCTGGCGACAGCAGAGTAGTGTCGCTTTCCTTGCAGTAGAAAACGCCACCAGGGCTTTCGCTAAAACGTGGAAGTGTGAGAATGGTGTATTATATCGAACATTTATCGAACCTGTCTTATCGCTCTATCGAGGAAAAGTTATATCGCGATACTTATCGTTATCGTTTTATCGCCCAGCCCTAGCTGCACCCAAGATTAGCACCGGTCATTTTATATTTAGAGAGGAGAATGTTGGCGAGATTCCTCGGTCATTTACGCCTGGCTGAAACTACAGGATTTCAAAATCCTAACCGATGTTGAAAACGTAAGAGACCAAACACATTATGACATTTTTACCATTTCACCAAGTCCCCAACACAACACCACCTGCCCTGAACGGAACACCACACACTTTCAGATTATACACATGAACTAGAGTCGTGACCAGGGGCTCCGATTCACAGAACCTCGCGGGAGTCCCTCACAAACTAATGTGACTTCTCCTCTAAACAGACGTGGCGGGTGACAGTGAGGCTGGTATGTCGGTGGTGCTGCTTTGTATACAGCAAACGTGCTCAGCTTGTTCGGCTCAGCTCTCTTTTGTTGACGGTCTTTCAGGCATGATGTCAGCTTCATGTTTCACACCAGAGAATCCACCCCACTCTCCAGGACACTGAGCTGTAAATACTGAAAACGTTTAATATTTACAATTCAGCATCTGGACCCTGACTAGACTGGGAGTAGATCAGAGGATTATAGACGCCCCACAGCACTGGATAATCTGGGAAGATCATCGTTTAAGATCCCCTGATATTGAAAGATCTTTTGCGAATGTCTGGGAGGAGAAAATCAGCCCTCAAATCTGGCCCGGTTA